CTGTTTCTCTACGTCTGCATGCATCCTATCGTATCTATAAAAAGTTTAGCACATGTGGATCCGTTTTACTGTATTTGCATCCAGCGGCGAACTGTTTTCTAAATTGAATGCAAACGAAGCGGGGAGGGAGCGGCGAGAGGATCAGCTTAGTTATTGCAATTGTTTTCCAAGCTAATCGGGAGATGTTTCATCTTTCAGGAACGTGGAGGGCTACGCGAGGGAGCACGAAGAAGCGTCCAGGAACATCCAGCAGTACCTGTCGAATCCCATAAACGCTTATCTCCTGGTAAAACGGCTGACCACCGATTGGAAGAAAGTCGAGGAGCTGATAACCGAGGACGTCGGCAAGTCCTTCGTGGCGAACATCACGAATTCCAGGAGCGATCTTAAATTCCCGACCGACGAGGACTTGAATGGCGCCGCAGTCGCTTTGATGAGGTTGCAGGACACGTACAAGCTCGAAACCGCGCAAGTCGCGAGGGGTGTCCTGAATGGGGTGCAATACAGCACCGGGTTGACCGGTACGTGGTAACATCCCCTTCTCGTGTAAGCTGTACGACTCCATTCACGTTATAGGACATCCCGAAATTCTTACAGGTCGAACGGTCCTTTCAATCGAGAGCAAATAAACAATCTGTATCGAATCGGAATGATTTAATGTAGCATGGAGATATTTGTATGGCTTATCTTTCTCTCTTGAGAATTTAATTAAAATTTCGAGCGCGTTTGCGGATCGTCGCAAAAAGACCTCGTTTTCTTTAATGGGTTTCCCCTAACGTCAAATCTGGAGACCGCGGTACGTCGCGGACGAGCACAAAGAGTCACTCGCATAAGAATAAATCCTACAACTCGCTTTTAACGGTAGGAAAAAAGGCGGAAACTGGGAATTTCGCGGTACAAAGAAAGACGAAGAGCGCCCGCGCTTTGCGGTTCGCGGGAGAAAAATTAATTAACGGACTAACTTTTTCGCTATCAGTATGCCACGCCCGCGCTGTTTCTCGCTCGAATAGAAAGAAATTCAATAGAACGCGGTCCAGATTGCGCCTGGCGAAAGGGCGAAAGATTTAATGGAACGCTGCTGAATGTATATATATATATATATATATATATATATATATATAATAAATTGAATAGATTGGATTTACATTTATATAGATATACATAATCGAATTTATTTATATATCAAAATTTCTAAATTTAAAATAATAGGAATCTAATTTATTTCTCAAAAAATAATTAAAATTATTAAAAAAGTAAAAAATTATAAAGTTTAAGAAACTATTTTTTTTTCAAAAGACATATGTCGTTTTATTTTAATATATTTGTTCCATATGTAGAATTTTTGTAAGAAAATACGATTCTTCTTTCATTTTTCATTATGTATCAATTTGAACATAATAAGTATCAATTTCTAAAACCGACCCTGTTATATTGTATCGTTATACTATCGATTGATTCGACTTTCTTTAGCGAAACTATTATGAGCTATATAAGTTGAAAATTCTTTCAGCTAAAGTTTGAAATTTTTTAAACAACAGAAATTTTTTATTTCTCTTTGTTTCAATAAAATGATTTCGGAAATAAACTGTAAAATGTGAAATAATTTTCTCTTTATTGTAACCATATGTGCTATATACGTATGTATAGATGAAGTTATCGGTTTGCACTAATTATTAAAAGTTCCTACATCATATTATTTTACAAGATAATATCACAACATGTTCTTTGGATATATTGCAATTTTTATATTTGTTTTGCCAAGTAAAATATGAAATTTACATTAAATTTAAATAAAAAGATACAATTTCAATAATTAATAATATTATTATTAAATAATAATATTACCTGAAATCATGTTTAATAGTTATATACATATACAGAAGTATTACGAAGTATATTATATTTAGTTTC